GTGGGTGGCTGTCCATGGTGCCACTTGGCGGAAGGTATGAACTGCCACAGAAATCTTTGTTAGGAGAGATATTTTATCAATCATATGGATGTCAATTTCTTAATCGATATTATTGTTCGTCATGTGTAGAATTTCTCATTGTGGTGGTTGAGTTGTTAAGGCATCTAACCGTCTTTACCACTAGCCCTCCCCCTCTTGGTCGTGGGTTCGAGACCTACGCGGGGCAGTCACATGGTACTTGCCTCAGGTCGGTGATTTTTACTCCGGAATTCCGGCCTTCCTCCGCCATCAAAACCTGTCACATCATTAAATGGCCCTTGCTGTTGAAAGGACGTAAATAAACAAACAAATAAACTATTTATAGAACTATATGTGGTTTCTGCAGTTAGTGCATGCTCATCATTTCTGTTCTCCATTGAATTCCCTGATTTCACACGTTTAGACACAATATATCTAAACGTCCATCTTTTTTATCTGTAAGTTGATAAAATGCCCTGCGCGAAATTTTTAATGAAAATGAACAAGGTTTCATTTGACCTAAGAAATTACAAAAATCGGCACAAAATGCAAAATGTTAAGTCTGGTCTGATGGAAACGACGTTGTGAGAATCGAAGTAAAATTATTCCCGTAGATAGAAGGGAAAACAGAAGAATGTCGGAATGTCAACCTAATACGAACCAGCCTAGGAATTATCTGAAAGGCTATACATATTCGGCTTCATCGACGACAACCGGAATGTATATCACATTCAATGCAAGTAATATCACGTTCTCCAAATAAGAACACGATTATTCCGTTAACAACAGGCACACATGAAAACATCGGAAACATTCAACTTCCTATCACAAAAGGAAATGAAATGCTGGCGAAATAAATATCATCAATAGTCTTTATTATTTTTATATCTCTCGAAACAATGTATTATAAATCATGATAAATTGCTCCATTCGTTGTTGACATTCATTGCTGAAATTGGGAACAAGCTCTTGAATACAAAATGATTATTATTTTGGCAAGTGTTCGACTGCTATCTAGAAATGAAGTTCAATGAAGTGACATAAAGTCATTACATTTGTGACACCCTTAGTGCCAAGGTGTCCCTGCTGTTTGTATGTAAAAGTTGAGGTATGCGTCTAATACAGAATTACTGTTCCTGAAGCCGATTTTTTAAGGTATATTCGATGTACATGATCAGTGAATATACTATTTCTTCTGCAGTTCAGTAACACCTCTGTAACTCAAACTGGAAAATACGGCAAGGTTTTTATCACATCAACACAACCAAATGGAGCTCCTATTTCGTGTTTTATAAAATTTATATTTTCGTTACTTGATAACGTGGATATACCTTGTTCACGAATTTCACTAGTACCATAATTCATGTCAATTGTTATCTGTTTCATTTCGCGAGAGACTTAGATTAATGGATAAAGAGTAAGTACGAAATCAACGAAAATAAAAAGCCCACGAAAATATTGATTTTACAGTATATCTACATATTTAAAGGCGATATTATTAACATATCAATATACTGTTACGTTTTTCTAAGTTATTACGAAATATAATGCATGCATTCGTGACAGATATGACAAGTCTGAAAGCATCATCTAAAAAACTACCCTATCAGTAGAATATTTTAAGCTAAGACTTAATTGTTCTGTAAACAACAAAACTTTTATATTCATCGTGACAGCCAGAAGGTCCAGATTCCACGATCAAACACATACTAGATCGCCCTGTAGTGCATGTCAACCTCAATGATGCAGCAACTTTTTGTCACAACGAGGGCAAACGGCTGCCGACTGAACAGGAATGGGAGTATGCTGCTAGGGGCGGAAAGGATGGTAAGTTTATCTCAACACGAATGTGAGTATGCTGCTAGGGGCGGGGGGATGGTAGGTTTATCTTAACACGAATGTGAGTATGCGGCTAGGGGCGGAAAGGATGGTAAGTTTATCTTAACACGAATGTGACTTTGCTGCTAGGGTTGTGGGGGATGATAATGTATCTAACACAAATGTGAGTATGCTGTGAGGGTCGTGGAGGATAGTAAGTTTATTTATCACGAATGTGAGTATGCTGCTAGGGGCGGGGATGGTAGGTTTATCTTAACACGAATGTGAGTATGCTGTGCGGGTCGTGAAGGATATTAAGTTTATCTAACACGAATGTGAGTATGCTGCTAGGGGCGGGAAGGATGGTAGGTTTATCTTAACACGAATGTGAGTATGCTGTGAGGGTCGTGAAGGATAGTAAGTTTATTTAACACGAATGTGAGTATGCTGCTAGGGGCGGGGATGGTAGGTTTATCTTAACACGAATGTGAGTATGCTGTGAGTGTCGTGAAGGATAGTAAGTTTATTTAACACGAATGTGAGTATGCTGCTAGGGGCGGGGATGGTAGGTTTATCTTAACACGAATGTGAGTATGCTGTGAGGGTCGTGAAGGATAGTAAGTTTATCTTAACACGAATGTGAGTATGCTGCTAGGGGCGGGGATGGTAGGTTTATCTTACCACGAATGTGAGTATGCTGTGAGGGTCGTGAAGGATGGTAAGTTTATCTTAACACGAATGTGAGTATGCTGTGAGGGTCGTGGGGGATGGAAAGTTTTTCCTAACACGAATGTGAGTATGCTGTGAGGGTCGTGGGGGATGGAAAGTTTTTCCTAACACGAATGTGAGTATGCTGTGAGGGTCGTGGAGGATAGTAAGTTTATTTAACACGAATGTGAGTATGCTGCTAGGGTCGTGAAGGATGGTATGTTTATCTTACCACGAATGTGAGTATGCTGTGAGGGTCGTGAAGGATGGTAAGTTTATCTTAACACGAATGTGAGTATGCTGTGAGGGTCGTGGGGGATGGAAAGTTTTTCCTAACACGAATGTGAGTATGTTGTGAGGGTCGTGGGGGATGGTAATTTTTTCTTAACACGAATGTGAGTTTGCTGCCAGGGTTGATGATCACAGACCTGCTTGATACTTTTACACTCGACTAATATAATTATTAGCCAGTGTTACGACACATACGAAATATATGTACTGAAAGTTTAAAGGAAAGTAGTTATATAGTGCTAATGATAAAAATAGGTACTGGACGGCAAATATATTGAACCCCTGAACATTTGTACCGAATTTACCCATTCCTCACGACTTCATTCTGCAATCTCTATGAGTGACAGACAGCTTTATAAGAATATCAAACAGGAACATATAGGCTTTAATACCAGCGGTCTCCTGGGAATGCCGGATTCTAACTTAATCATTCTGAATACTTTTTCTTGGTGGAATACTAGCTTTCCAAAAAAGAAATTATACATTGCGTTGTGCAGGCGTCCGTTTTCCAGTATCAATATTAACCATTTAATACTGATGCTTTAAACCAACCTAAGAGGCCTTCATTCCGAATAATAGACCAGCGCCATGCTTGAATAAAGATGATTAAATTTTCTTATTAAATCGATGATCTCGACTCACTTTATTGTCACAGATATCGCACATGTTAAAATCAGTAAACACGCTTTTCTGAATGACAAAGTTATACAACAGTATTTTTGAATGAATGAACTAACCTTTACGAACTTTTAATGTCACTGGGGAAGACGTGTTAATATCGTTAATGGTTTCTTTAGAATAATCAATGTCACGTTTGGCTAGAATATGTGGCGTGCTGGGATAAACGTCTCAGTTGTTCCAGGGGAAACCTTGACATAATTTCAATGGATAAGACAGATGTGTTAATATCTTTGATGGTATCATGTGTATAACCAATGTCAACAATCCCATTACATGTGTCACGCTGGGATAAACAAAATACAAAATTTTTCAAGAGTAACCTTGAACCATTTTTAAGTTCTAGGAATTAAACGTGCTATCGCCTATAATAGCAGTCTGGAATATTAACTTGCCCATATTGTTCCAGTATTCACTTCAAAGATAATAACAGATCTTTCAACGTTACTGAAAGTATTTAATAAAATATTAAGTTTTGCATTCATATGAATATCCTATATTAAATTTGAAAGTGATAAGCAATGAATATCCTTGTTTGTCATCGGCTCCTCATGACATTATTTACTTGGATTTATCAATATTTACGTGGCGGGTGTCGTCGATGAAGCAGAAGACGTTTACTCTTCCGGAACACTTAGTATCCTTGTATTTTTGCTGGAGCCCCCGTATAAATATTTTTTGTTAATATTTTGCTCTGGTTTTATTGAATTTGAGTTTTTGTAATTTTTTTTATAAATTGATATTTTCTTGCTGTTCTTTTTTCTGCATAAAATACCGTTAGGAAAGCCCTATTGTTTTTACACTTATATTCTGAAGTCTCTAGATGAAGCTTACCATCCACATTGAGTGTATTTATATATATTTACACACATTAGGCTTGCACAAGAGTATTTGATCTTGCGACTTATGTTAACTATGCTGACCGTTCTTCTAGGATATTTCTTGTTTCCACGATTGTTTCGGGGATGCTTTTTTAATTGATTACTAATGACAGATTTGTTCATTTATCTTACCTTTATTTGCATAACTCCATTTTTGCTTTTTAATTAGGTTTGACTTTCCCTTGGGGAGAGGCGTACAAGAGGAACAGAGCCAACATATGGCAGGTAAACATAGCAAAATGAGCCGTGACAGGACTTCAGTTACCTGGCTTCGCCTGAATTCCCGCAAAACTAATAGAATTATTTTTTAATCTCGCATTGACGAAAAAACACTGAAATGGCCACGTCCCTCTACATTCAATTATAAATCACCTTTATTGTTGAAGGAGGACTATATCCACAACATACACCTGTGCATTATTTTTTATAATTTCTTTTATTATTCATTGTTGAAAGGATGTAAATTAAGGACAATTGGTACAAAATCAGCATCGATTAGTACCAAGCCTCTTTGTCTGTTGTCATTTTAGAGTCAAATGAAGTGTCTTTCACCAGTCTTGTTTGTTAATACGCTACACTTACAACTCTCCGTCCTGTCAGAATTGGAGATGAGTTATTTTTGTTAATTTTATGTCTTGACTGGGAACATATACGGTGATGTGATTTGGTTCCTAGACAAATGTTTCACAATATAAACAATGTATTGCTGTGGCAGAGCAGAGTAATTTTCGGTGACTGTAATAGAGATGACGCAACGATAATTGTAGTGACTGCGAACTGAAAGTAGATATTTCAAGACTGTTTAGGTTATCGGGGATAGACGAAATTGAAGTAGGGTAGGTCTTACATAACTATTAGATGTGGAAATTTCTGACCAGACAAGCAGCCAAACTTGTACACTCGAGTTCAGATATTCCTGTCCACAGAACAGACCCATGTAAGATTTTGTTTGTTACTAACAGTTGGAATATTGTTTAGGAGATTCTATAAGTCAATAGTATAAGTTTAATGATAATAACAAGAACAATCATCGAGACGAATCAGATAACATGTACACGACCTTTATGATATATTGTGAGTTTGTAAAGGCCTAATTGACTGCTTGATCTGACAGGGACCTTTTCCGCACAGCAACGAACACAGAGACGGCTGGAAAGGGCTTTCTCCGGTCGATGCATTTGGACCCCAGAATGACTACGGTAAGCCAAGAATACATCTATGCATCCATTCAAAATAGACTAATATGATTAGATGAAATTTTTAAATGACCATGATTAGATGAAATTTTTAATTGACCAAGATTTACTTGACGGGTGGTTTCGATTAAGTAAGAGACGGTTACTATGCTGGAGCCCATGGTGTTCTTCTCCTTGTTCGTTTTCAGAGGTCTCTGTATAAATATTTCTCTTGTTCATATTTTACGTGATTCCATCGGCTTTTTGTTCGAATTGAGATTATGATGACATAAACTATTTGCTGTTATGTTTTTGAATTATCGCTCCTGATGCAACACGAATATTTACGTCAACGTTATCAAATACCAAATCAGTGATTTACAATAGGACTGAAATCGACAAGTTTGTGATCCAATCATGTACCACATCGATGATAAGGGACATTGTATAAGATAAAATGTTCCTTGTTTACGTTGCTAAAGACAGTTCGCGAAATTAGACGCATAAGACTTCAGATGTAAAAATGTATATTTTTGTAATTCCCGCGAAAGGTTTTACCGTGATAGGATGTGTTTGACTTAAATCTCTTAAAAATGAACTTATGAACTTAATTTTATCTATTTATTTGTATCTCCCAACGAAAATATTCATACTATCTTTACCATATTGTCTTAATTGTTGCTTTCCGTCTAGGTATGCATGATGTACTGGGTAACGTGTGGGAATGGACCACAACGAGATACTACGAGAGGTTGATCGACCGTAGACTGCAGGAAGAGATGTACGTCGTTAAAGGTGGTTCCTACATCGATACATTTGATGGGCAGTACAATCATGCGATCCGAACAGCACAAAGGTACTACTATATCATGTTTATGACTGCTAGGTAATGGATGTAGAAAACAGACGTGTATTCACGGAACACTTTCCTCAGGTCGTTGATATCAATAAAATGAAAGTTCGTTGAAAACAACCAACAGAATTCGACCTCGTGGTCATCGAAATATCACACTTAGATCTCCTACTGGTTATTTACTACAGAAGTATTATATTTATATTCAAAATATGGCTTTGATGTCATTCCCCCTTTTTTGACTTTTCTATGTGTTACCTGTAACTGTTCTATGTTACCTGTAACTACTCTATTGTTACCTGTAACTGTTCTATTGGTACCTGTAACTGTTCTATGTTACATGTAACTGTTCTATTGTTACCTGTAACTGTTCTATTGTTACCTGTATCTGCTCTATTGTTACCTGTAACTGTTCTATGTTACCTGTAACTATTCTATTGTTACCTGTATCTATATGTTATCTTTAACTTTTTCATGTGTTACCTGTAACTGTTCTATTGTTACCTGTATTTGCTCTATTGTTACCTGTAACTGTTCTATGTTACCTGTAACTGTTCTGTTGGTACCTGTAATTTTTCTATTGGTACCTGTAACCTTTCTATGTATTACCTGTAACTGTTATATATGCTACCTTTAACCTTTCTATGCATTACATGTAACTGTTCTATATGTTACCTTTTACCTTTCTATATGTTACCTGTAACTGTTCTATATGTTACCTGTAACTGTTCTGTTGGTACCTGTAACCTTTCTATGTGTTAGCTGTAACTGTTCTATTGGTACCTGTAAACTTTCTATATGTTAACTGTAACTGTTCTGTTGGTACCTGTGACCTTTCTATATGTTACCTGTAACTGTTCTATTGGTCCTGTAACCTTTCTATGTATTACCTGTAACTGTTCTATTGGTACCTAAATGACTCACTGTCACAGTTAAAGGTAACTCAACATTATTTGGTTTCTACATTGTCCTAATCTGGATACAAACAGGACAGTGTAAAATAAGTATAATAGTAGACAGTCCTGTTTCAAAATAGGTTTCATTAAAATCTCATATGGTCAAAAGGAAAAAGTTCAATTCTTTTCAAAGAACAGAAAAGTGTGTAGTGTGTTAGCTGATAAAAACGCATGTACATTAAGATTTTTACATTATTCACATGGAAAACAGTTTCAAAAATTTCGAAGAAAACGTTTCCAGTAATAATGTTGAACTCTATAGTGTTGAGTATGCTTTGCCTCTTTTACTGTTTTTAAGATTAAGATACATTTGATTTTGCACACTTGAACGAAGTCCATGCATGGGCGGGGGAACAATTATTTCCCGTCAGAAAGATTATTAATCCGATACATATCACACACTTGTATATTTCCTTGGCAGAACCTCTTGTTTCTTTGTTGCAGTTGTAAATGCCTCTTTTCACAAGTCTAAGAAAATATTGTATTACAGTAAGACATTTGTTGAATTTACTTGATCTAAGAACACCTTTCATTGGAGAAAAACAACCCTTTTCCCACATTTTGACCACATCCTAATTTGTTGTTTCGGAGAAAATATGTTGATGCAATGACAATTCCGTTAGTTGAAAAATCTAGGCTAAGGAACGAATACCTGCGTCTCTATCGGGGAACAAGGTGAAATGCTTTCACAGAAGTGGACTAGGCAGGGCGAAAGCATGCTCTGTGCACTACACCATGTCAATGTTATTCATAACATTTAACACAGCTAAAGATTATAACACTTCAGCTATGCTGTTATGCATACCTATGTATGCCTATTGTCTGAGGCAAAATTTGTGGACCTGTTTTGATTAAAGTTATTCTTTATTAGAGATAATCTCAAACAGGTTGTAAGCTTAAGGATGACATACTTTCTAAACTTGAAAAAACGAAAACTTTCTTGCGGAAATATGAAATGAAATTTTTATTTGAATAGATGTGAAATTGTATCAGTTCTTTAAAAGGTAATGTATACATAACATTACTTTCATCTCATGTTTCGTATTGTTTCAGGATGGGTCTAAATCCTGAGTACACAGCTCACAATGTTGGATTCCGATGTGTGCTGCCAATACCAGACGAAAAATTTAAAGAGAAATCGTTACGAAAAATGCGAAGAACACATGACGAACTGTGACCATGTAATACGGGTTCGTGACGGAGCACGTGATATCTAAATGCTCTGTTTAAACTTAAGCCTTTGCTATATTTAATTTCCAAGTACACTTGTGACATTACTTATATCTGTTTGTATTGGAAATATTCAATCTTGTTTAAAACTTGTTTAAAATGTAAATGTTTATAACATCAGCAATGTGGATGTCAGAAACCATCATTCAAACAGCGAAAACGGAAAGAACATAACCACAAAATTGTCGGCCACTATAGGTAATAAAATACTTTAATTCATGTAATTTTACGTCCTAACAAAACAGAAGGGGATTCACATTAGGTAAAATACGACAAAAACAGATAAATTGGTGAGCAATGTTTGACATATATAATATATTCCCGAACACGCCAATCAATCGGATATAATATCTATTTAGTAAAATATTTCCCAACATTCAAGGGACTCAAAGAAATCCTTCTATCGTTTGACGGACATGTTTAACAGCATCTTGAAATAATTGTTAACGTTAGGACTCTTTAAGTACTAATTGAAGCTTGCTGAAACCACAAAATAACGACGACAAAGATTTGTGAATTTCTATCAGGTAAAGCTAAGGTTTCTTGAGGGGTTGAAATACGTCTACATGCTGGCGTCAGATACAATTGTCTTTTGGAAACAGCTCTGAAGTTAGTTTATATTTAGAAATTAAGAGGAGTACAAATATACTTGTTAAAGACAAAAGTTGAATGGGGTCCAATTTACATCAGACAGTGACAGCAACTGGTGGGCCGAATCAGTTGAGTAATAAATGGGCGGAACTGTTATAGCAATATCAATGAGCGTGCGAACGGAAATGAGTGTGAATGTAACACCAACAAGATTGATAATCTGTCTATTATACACATGATATGCATACAAGTATAATGAGTCAATAAGTTGAAAGAAAATTTGAATGACCATGTTAAAAGAGATAATGATTATTATTTTAAAGAATAGAAGTCGTATTTCATGTGAAAATGTTTAGCATTTGCGACGATTTAAATTCACGAGATTGAGAGTTGTATGAATGCAAATGCCATAAACAATTTTAAATGTCTGATAATAGATGCATTGGACATCTCGGTATTTCACCATGATTTAGTCATTTTGCCTTTTTCTGATGTCGATAATTATTTGTCATTTTTCTCACTTCATGAGCAGCACCTACTTAAAGGATTAAGTCCCTTTGTCCATGTATTTGAATATGCAGATTGGTCACGTGCTTTTTCGTGATATCCTTATAAACTTCATATATTTTCAGGTTGCAGTTTGAGAGGGACCCACTTTTATTAATTTCTATTTGTTTTGATATCCTCACAAAGTGTTTCCCAATAGATAGCTGAAGTATATCTTAACTTTATCTTTGTGTAATTACCAGGTAGAAGTTTTCTAAGAATATTTTTGGAAATCGTTAATATGTCAAATGATGAGTATATTGTGGGTTGTAATGGCCTAACAGAAGTTAAGTTTTTCGTTTGATAGTCATGGTAACAACTTGTCACATTTAAATCATATTGAACAAAATAAAGTATCTTGTCTTTACTTCAATCATACTTCTAAATAAAACTCTCATCTAAAACTGTTGTCATTTTGTTTTATTCTTATCATAGTGAGTTTCATTTTAAAATACGAAAATTTACTACAAACAGGAATTTGAATACTAACACTGGTTTAAAGCATATCGAGAAACAAGAAAGAGATCGATGAATTACACAAGTCTAGAGGTGGGCCATCAATTTTGGAACGAATTCAAATAATTTCATCCACCGATTTTACCTTATTTTCTGATATTGACATAACACCTTACCTTAGCTGAAGATATAAATGTGAGTGTTGAACTCTCATCTTCAGGCAATAAAAATAGAGAATTAAAGGCGGCTGACAAAATTTAAGCTACATAATAATTGAATGAAGTGAGTACCGAGAGCAGGTTTCTAAAAAAGACCTCATTGCTAAGTGGTAAAGGGCTGGAACTCCTCAAGCTCTTTCCTGTTTTAGTTTTAGTCCTCTACAATCTCTGACCTTCTTCAGCCCTAATGACATTTTGACTGGCTATAAAGTGCTAACTTGAAGATGGTGAAATTTCTTTTTTCTCAAAAATGGGTTACACTGAATATAATATATATATATATACTAACATGATAATATGATCATAACCCAAACTCAAATTCCATAAACTAGTTCAAAATAAAAAACAAAATATTTTCATGGAGGCTCCTGAAAAAATACAAGGAGAATAAGACCAGGTGTTCCGGGGTAATAAACGTATCCTGCTTCATCGACGACACCCGCCATGTATACATTGGTCAATACATGTAAGTAATGTCGCGTTCTCAAATGAGAACAAGGTATACAACAACGGAACTGACAGACAAACTAAGGAACATCAAACAGGGCCAGCTTCATATCACACAAAGAAACAGAATATTGTGTCGACCATAGAATATACTAGAGCATGTGCTCTGGTGACAAGCTCATAGTCACAATACTTGTTCCTTGATATTGAATGTACCAATAAGGCACGTTTTTTATTTTCAAAAGGTACCCAAGGATTATATTATGAATAAAATAACAAATATAGATTGTCATTGATGAAACTGAAGCTTAGCCTTCCTGAGCACCTGGTCTTAGTCATTGTGTATTGTTTCAGGGTTCATCGTCGTTTTTGTTCATAGTTTGCCCTCGGTTCAACTTGGGGTTGAATTCAGTTCGTAATAACCTATCGGTACATTCTTCTGCATGTTTTTTTAACGCAAAACAAATTTACATTTATATTTGAAGACTAGCTATTATCTTTATTCACTTACACTAACATAACAGTTGCATGAACCACGTAAAACCCGTTCAAATACGACAAAAACCTCTCGTAAGTATTGAAACAAAAACCATGGACGAGGTATGGGTTGTCAACATTATACAGACGTCAATGTATTATCATGTGAATGTTTTCATCCTGCTTCAAAGCCGATAACATTCCTCCATTACGAAATTAAAACTGTATAGATAAAAACACAATGATGATAAAAGTTGTGCATATTGTGCATGGACAATGTATGTAAATAGAACAACAAAGCAAAGTCATTATTATCAATGCTGGTTTTGTATATAGAAGGCTCCTCGAATTATATCCATACAACAGATGTAGTCTCCTTAGAAAAAGAATAGAAAAAAAAAATTTTGGATTGTCAATCGAATACCAAGGTCAATTCTTTTTGACGTCACTGTCTCTCTATATCACTATATGATGCAGTTGGAGCATTAACGTCTAACAACGTTAAACTGTTCACGAATCCATCACATATTTATTGAATTCAACAGTGTTTGAAATAAACTTTTGGCGTGACATTAAATGTAACCGATTAACTGTTGAGGAGACAAAGGTCTGTGGTCTCACACATGGAAGCAAATTGTTGTTTTTGGTGTTAAACAGGATTTTCTATGTCATTAGTATTTCTGACTGTCATTCAGTGACCTGTTATGCATCAGATATTTTTTCATGACGAGTAACGAAAGAAGAAGAAGAAGAAGAAGAAGAAAAAAAAACCTGTAATGCATCAGATATTTTTTACAAAAACAAAACACAAAACACAACCTTTGTTTCTATATATACTTACTGAGACGTTAAGTTATAACAGAAAAAAAGAAACAAAATGGTATATATTGATAACTGTAGTGAAGACCGTCACAAAAAGGTCTTGAAACATCTTCATGGAGGTCTTAAATAAATGGAATATATTTCCGTTTGGAGAACCATAATGAAGGGCATTGCATGAAATATCGCAATAAAGTCAAATGTTATCGAAGCTTCATGTTGTCAATTAAACGAAAAAAAAACTGTCAAAAATTGTAATGCAATTCATTTTTTAACACTAGCAATTTCATGTACATCTCAGCAATAATTTTGACAAAACTACCATATGCGTGCATCAACCTTGTATGTGTTTATGTTTCCATTCCAGATATAATAATAATTAGGTAACATTTAATGTCACGTTGGGTAATAAAATTAGACCCATTGATGGAAAGCTACTCCATGTTTAATTTGTGCTTTAGAACTCTCTAATGGATAATTGCCCTAAAGTTGATTTGTTGATAAAAAACTTTAAATGGATATCTGTTTTCTTCTAAAGTGTTGATGAAACCCCTTGCCGCCTTATGGTTGAATTGTGTATCAAAACAAGTCGATGGATTTCCGCTTTCTGGTTGAATTGTGTATCAAAACAAGTCGATGGATTGCCGCTTCCTGGTTGAATTGTGTATCAAAACAAGTCGATGGATTGCCGCTTCCTGGTTGAATTGTGTATCAAAATAAGACGACGGATTTCCGCTTCCTGGTTGAATTGTGTATCAAAACAAGTCGATTGATTTCCGCTTCCTGGTTGAATTGTGTATCAAAACAAGTCGATGGATTGCCGCTTCCTGGTTGAAAAGTGTATCAAAACAAGACGATGGATGACTGTTTTTTGGTTAAATTCTAAATAAATGTTGATGTATAGCTGTTCGCTGGTTGATTTTAGAATTGTTGATAAAACTCCGTCGAGGGATAGCTGGTCTCTAGTGTTCCTCGCTAGGCTTCCTTGATATAACAAAAGTAATGAAATATTGAAATGAATTTTTTTTAAAAATGAATAGACAGTGAAAATTCAGTTTACTTTTTGTTTTACAATGTGGTTACTGAACATGACTCCTTTTAGAAAAAACCCAATAGATAGAGAAGGAGACAATGAATTATCAAGTTTATATTTGATAAAGAAGGAAGGACCACGATAGTCCCGGCTTCTGCAGACTAAATTTACTTGTTACTTATTTTTCACAAAACGCTGATTGTAATTTGAACTATAAATATTCGGACAATTACAACATTGCAATATTAACCTTACGGTTTTATTAAGTGTATCAGACACAACAGAATTTTTCTACATTTTCAAATGCGGAACAAAAGTCTGAAAAAAATACTGAAGTTGCTGTAGTTAATACTACGAGAG